TTTAACCCTTCGTGTTTGTAGAATATATACGGGAATGAGACGCCCCAGGGTTACCGCAATGGCATCGTTATATCCGTAACGGTATTGCTAACATTTCCTGAAAGTTTCATGCAATTCCGGCGCATGGCTTTCAAATTACATAACGCTTTCGTTGTGCATACGTGCCAGACCCGGAACCTTTATATCGAGTTGCAAAATATCGTAACGTGGCAATAACTAATAGTTATGTTTCGTGATACTTCATTTCGTCGATCAGTTAAATTTGGTAGACATCGTGAGGTATATACAGTTAAGTAATAACGATTACTACTTCGCAAAGTTTATAATATAATATTGTACAAAAGGAGAAAGGAGGAACAGAATAGCTACTGTGTGTAAGTGAACAAAAATATATTTCAAAAATTAGTCATTCTTTAATCATAAAACGATAACATATCTTCTATAGAAGCTGATATGTTATCGTTTTATGATTAAAGAATGACTAATTTTTGAAATATATTTTAATATATATATATATTTTTTAAAACATATTTTAAAATATATTTATTTAAGAAACTATAGTTTCTTAAATAAATATATTTTTTAAATATGTCACACAAGTGAGATGTAAAATTTGAGGCATAAAAGGAAAGCGCATATATTACATATATTACACTTTGTACAGTCCAAGTGTATACATTTAAATAAAAGGAATTTGTGCATTGAAAGGACAGAAATAATACAGCAGAAAAATTACCAAAAGTATAAAGAGGAAAATGCGGAAACTCTATTCTTTAATAATTTTCTCCCTTGTTCTCAAGTACCTCAATTATTCGCTCTGACAGTAATTTATAAAGTCTCTCTAGAATTTCTTTTTATTCTAATCTTATCCATTTTATCTCGTGCGTCTTTGATTCATTAATGGCTTGAAATTGCTTTCCACCAAAATATACAGTTTGTGTCTTAATATTCCGTAACAATCTGCAATAATATTCAAATCTAGAAAATGCGCTAACCATTCTAAAATAAAAAATGTTTTTCTTCAAAGATATTGTTTTACAGTTTTTCTGTACATTAGCATTTTTTCTTTTAGACAACAAAATTTGTCCTAAGTAGTATGTCTCTCTCCCTCCTTCTCTCTCTCTCTCTCTCTCTCTCTCTCTAATTTATTTTTAGAATATTGAAATTAATAATAGTAACTATTTTTTGTCTTATATAAATGAATTTGAAGTTATATATAGACTTCTCATTACATTTTATTCCGATGCACAAACCATCTTCGCCCATTTACTATCATATCCGTAATTGTTTACGTAAATGTAATTACGTAATGTAATTAATTACGTAATAATGTAATGTAAGTTATCGTAGCAGTAATAATAATTATCAGAATCATTGAGATAGTTTCCCGTTTGTATCATTTTTCCACTTGTTTTTTGTTGGATCTATTTCTTGTAAACCATAAATGATCGGCTTGATATCGTACTATCAGTGTTCTTTCCTTAACTATTTTTTTATTGAAGATACTCAAACTTCTGAAGAACGCGTCAGACATTTCTAATATTGGTTGAAACAACAACTTGTTGAACAATTTTCATCGCACAAATACGCGAGTTAAAAGCGATTTATAAAATTACTTCTTTCTCTAAAAGTATTGTAAGAATGTTTTTTAAGTCATAATTTTGATTGTGAAGTTTGATTTATTTGGTTCGGATTCATTCAACTTAGAAAGCAAAGATTTCCCGTGGCAGTTAGTGATCGTAGTTAATTCATGGCATGTAAACGAGAAATCGAAAAAGGGAAATAATTAGCAAGTTTTGCGGGTGAGTGCTTTTCACTGGATATAATTAAAATTACCGATCGAATAAGTTTTTGATGCGGCGCTCTGAAAGCGGTGCTTATATTTGTAGAGCGAACGCAGCAAGACGTTGCGTCTTAATAATGGCACGTCGTGGAAACGCATCGTCATGGTGGAACGACGACACCAAGGTGGGCGGTGGATAGTGCAAAAAGAAAAAAAAGGAAAAGAGTGGCACGAGGGCGTGATTTATCTGCTCGTATAT